ATTCCAAGGGATCTCCAGGTCTCACTTGGAGGCTGGCATCCCTAGGTGACCTGGTCATTGTCAAATTAGGGGATTATTGGATAATTTACAGACCTTTTTTGACTGTGCACTTTTGAAATATTGCAGTTGGTGGCTGATTCGTTCTGCTGGTAGTTGTATACTTATGACGACTATGTGGCGACTCTGTGAAACTTGGCTGGGCCTGCTGCTCTGTTGTGGTTTTTTGGTGTCGGCTCCCTACTTCTGAGTTTGTAAACAATGTAAAAGTGGCCCTCAGTGTGATTAGGGTTCTGCGCCCTTGCTCCATAGAAGCAAGTGTGCCGTTTCCTTGGTGGGGAAAGCAACTGGTTTTCATGGAGCTGTGTGTTCTCCATAGAGTTGCCAGGCCTGGGTTGGAGAATACCTGGAGACTTTGGGGGTGGATCCAGGAGAGGGAGGGGAGGGGCCTCAGCCTGGTACGATGCCATAGAGTCCCGGCCCCGGGCTCCTGGCAGGCCCCACTGTAGAGTCGACCTCCCCACTCGCTTATTTGCTAGCGCTCCACTGTGCCCCCAGCCATCTTCACTGCCCAGTGGCACAAAGAACAGGGCTGTGGGCAGTGGGTTGTAATCTCTCCAGTCCCCATGTAGAGGCTGGCGATCCTGGCAGTGGGAGGGCTCATCAGCGGGCAGGGGAAGGGGGCACAGGCGTGTGGGAGGCGTGCTGGTGAGGGGAAGGGGAGCATGGCCATTTTCTCCAGGTGAGCTGGCGGTGGGTGGAAGAGGGGAGGAGGCCCCTGGGAGATCTAAGTCCAGGGCCCTCAGAACCTGGAGCTGGCCTGGAACCGCCTGTCAGTGTGACTCGAACACTGTTGTCAGAAGGAAAGACTCTTACCGTCCACCCCACTGCTAGCACCACCCCCAGGGCTTGTTTGCACTACCAGGTGGCAGCTACGAGCCAAGAAATGCTTATGTAGCCTTCACTTCTGGTTCCCCATCGCTGTTGTTTGAACGTTCCATGTGCTGGCAATGATGGAAAAGGCTGTGTGTGTGTTTTTTTTTACTGGTGCTGCTCACTGGAAGGTTCTGAAATGATATACCCAGGGCTGGCTCGCTCACTAGGCGAACTAGGCGTTCGCCTAGAGTGCACCGGCCCTTGGGGGCACCAAACGGCACCCGCCCTCCCTCCCACCAAAAGCCCTCTCCCTGACCGGGTGACCGCCGCCCACCGCCGGAGGAAGCCGCCCAAGCCCGAGGTGGTGGCGCTGCCGCCCGCCTTGGAGCTTGGAGGCGGCACCAGATGGACCCAGGCGGCAGGGTTAGGTTCATCCCGTGGCCGGGGCCTGCGATGGGTCCGTGGGTGGGTGGACGGGTGGCGATGGAGTTGTCGCCGCCGGTGGCTATGCTAATGAGCTCCGGCAGCTCTTTTTCTACAACAAGACCCCTGCCAAAACCCAATGGGGGGGGGATGGATCCTTCCCAGAGCTGGGTTTTGGCGAGGTGCAAGGAGTAGGCCGGAAAGGACTCAGGAAACTGCGAGCGCACTTGGTACCTGCAGGAGGGGGATCAGTGACCCACTTCGAGCTGGGGATATCGTGGGCCGGTGGTATTTGGGTGAGAGGGTGCCGGAGTGGGGGAGGGAGGCGGAGGCCGGCCGGATTGGGATCTGGTCTGGCCCGGAGGAGCGGAGGGGCAGCCCCGACCGGCACGTCTCTCCAAGCCGTGGGCCTCCTGAATGTCGGGGGAAGAAGCAGGTGTGTGCGAGGAGGAGCGGGTGCTGGAGCTGCTGAGCTACAGGCTGGCAGGCTGTGTGGCGGCGGCGATGCTGGGGCGCACCTTCTGTGTACCCGACAGGCGCAACTCGTTGGCGCTGCTGGGCGGCTTTGCACCGGCCCGCCTGGGCTGGATGGTGCAGGAGGTGCCCTCCTTCCTGCTGCCACTCCTCCTCGTCCTCTGCAGCGACGGCGCCCAACTCCATTGCTGGCGGGAGCTACTGGCATTGCGGGGGGGCGCACAGGGGGGCTCCAGAAGGGATCCTGCCTAGGGTGCAAAATAAGCTAGGGCCGGCCCTGGATATGTCACCTAGAGAATAATGTGTCCAGTCGCACCTTAAAGACCGACATGATTTCTCGAGCATAAGCTTTCGAAGGAAGCTTTGACTCTCAAAAGTTTATATGCCCTGGAAATCTTGTTGGTCTCTTAGGTGCCGCTGGACTCAAATTTTGGTCTTCTGCTGCAGACCGACATGGCTCCCTACCTGAAACTATAGGGAGTGTGTTTCTGAACGCAAAGGGTAATTGGATGTTCTTGAGGGTGGGAAGGAAGATATCAGGGAGAAGCTTCGGAAAGCAGGCATTCAGAGTATGAGCTTAGATTGCTCTGTTTAAATAAAGCAATGCTTTGATCCCTGTTTAAATTTGTCGAAGATCTGGGGAGAGAGGGAGACTTTGCAGAGTTAGAACTAGAAAAAAAACAGCAAAAAGGAAAGTGTGTCCTTGGCCGGAATAAGAAACATGCAACAGATTGGGTTGCCAATTAGAAACACGCACACGCACACGCACCCCTCAACAGTGCAGTGCAGAGTCCTAGGGTTGCCAGCTCCAGGTTGGGAAATACCTGGAGATCTGGAGCTTGGGGAGGGTGGGGTTTGGGGAGGGGAGGGACCGCGGCAGGGTATAATGCCATAGAGTCCACCTTCCAAAGCGGCCATTTTCTTAGGGTTGCCAAGTATAGCTTACCTCCGCAGCGGTGGAATCCCAGGTGGATAGAGTTTCCCCTCCGATGGTCGTGGCCCCGCCCCCAGCGTGCCCGGCGTCATAACGTCACTTCCTGGTGACGCGCACGCCGGGGTGGGGTTCCACGGCAGCGGGAATCGGGCCTCCAAAGCGGGGGGTTACTCGCCCCCCGCCCCCACTTGGCAGCCCTACATTTTCTCCAGCGGAACTGATCTTTCTCGCCTGGATCTCCAGCCACCACCTGAAGACTGGCAACCCTAGTTAGGACCAATAAACATCCTGCCTCAAGAAGAGTCCTGGGGGACCTTGAAAGCTTGTTCATTGCTTTGTGAACTTTGGATTGGTGTGAAATGTATTTGGTTTTCTGTTGGACAAACAATAGATCCTGCCATTCTTGTTTGCTTTGTCCAAGAGGGGGATTCTGCAACGGAGGGGAAACATTGCCATGTCTAGCAAAGGGTCTTTGCTGATGAGACTCAGACACTCTCCAGTATTACGCCATCCAAATTGGCTTCTATAAACTCTTAACCTAGTGGGCTATGAATCTCCAGCTCTGGGACTACGTTTTTCTTCTGCTCCCTGCCTTGCCAAGGTCCTTTGTGTTCCAATCAGCACTGAAGAGAGAGCCAAAATGCAGCAGGTTTTCATATTTTTAGAAATGGAAGAAGCCACTTCTTGCTCTACTGTGCAGCAGCCTGCAGTGCAAACTAAGATCTGTCTTGCGCTTTCCACAGTCTGCAACACAGCCTGCATACCGTTTTAAGACAAGGTGGGCTTTTCCCATCTTGCCCTGCATTTGGTTATTCCTTAGAGCATTTTTAAACAGCCCTTCTCCAAAACTGGATTCATCATCGACTTGCACCTCTACCTGCTTTTTGTTAAACAGAAAACAGAGAGCATAGAGGCAGAGCTCTGGAGAGGATTGCCAACCTCCAGGTGGCGGCTGGAGATTTCCTGGGATTACATCTAATTGCCAGGCGACAGAGATCACCTGGAGAAAAAGGCCACTTTGGAGGGTGGGCTTTATGGCATTATACACCATAGAAGTCTCTCCCCTCCCCAGCCCCCTCCTCCTCAGGCTCCACCCCCAAAATCTCCACATATTTTCCAACCCGGAGCCTGCGACTCTAATTCTGGATGATATTTTGGTTGGTCTCAATAAAAGACATTACCCTGTTGTCTGCTGATCTTTTAAGTGTGTTGGATTCCCCCACCAAAACCTGAGGTTTTTAAAAAAAGATACGAAAGTCCTCTGAGAGTTTATTCGGATATGCTTCGGCATTACAGCCCATTGGGGAGGGCAGTATATAAATCTAAATAAATAAATAATAGAGTATTAGGTTTTGAATGGGGAAATACTGACAGATCTTTCACCTTCTGCTCGTCACGGGGGACCTTAGAGAGGCAGGGGCAGGACCTCTAGCAAAACCAAGCGCTGCTTTTCTCTCTTTGGACCAGAGTGGTTCTTAATTTAAAGAGCAGTGGCAAAAGCACTGCAACAAATGGGCGCCTGCAACTATTTTGCCTTTCAAAACATCGAGGGTGCCACGGCTTGAGGAAAGAGGAGGAAGATTTCTGAACATTGAATCCCCACCTGTTAGGGATGCCAGTCCTCCAGGTGGGGCCTGGGGATCTCCCGGAATTAGAGCTCATCGCTATATTGCAGAGGTCAAGTCCCCCTGGAGAAAAGGGATGCTTTGGAGGGTGGACTCCATGGCCTCGTACCCCAATGAGGTCCCTCCCCTCCCCAGGCTCCACCCCCAAATCTCCAGGAGTTTCCCAGCCTGGATCTGGCAACCCTACGTCCCATCCCCCCCCGCCAGTGGTGGGGGCGGGAACCTGACAACCTTACATTCTTCCCGTTCAGGATCCCTAAAACAACAACAACTTTGAAGTATAGGGATTATCTGGAAACCCTGTTCTTGTGTCAGTTTTTCACATCGCCCCCCTTCTACTTCCATTCCCCACCCTCGCCCCGCACATGGGAGACACGAAGGGCCTTCCGTCGGGAACCCGACGTCTCTCATCAAGCGTACGGAGACCGCAGCCCCTCAATCATAACAACACGGGGGCTCCCCCTCCCTCTTCTGCCTCCGTCCTCCCTGTTTTCGACCCCCCACGAGAACGCCGCTTTCGGTTGGCTCGGGCGGCTGCATGTAAACAGAGCGGCGCGCCCCCATTGGTCGGGCTTCACCCGTGGGCGGGGCCGACGGGCGGACCGGGGGAAGGCACACGCCGAAGAGATATAGGCGCCGCAGCCGGCGTTCGCCTTCAGAGCCGGCGGCGGAGTGGAGGAGGAGGGAGGGGGAAGCGGAGCGCGGGCGGCGGACGGAGCCTTCTCGGTGCGCGCGGCCGGAGGACAAGGCAGCGGCCATGCTGTGCTATGTGACCAGGCCGGACGCGGTGGTGATGGAGGTGGAGGTGGAGGCCAAGGCCAACGGCGAAGACTGCCTCAACCAGGTGAAGGGGTCTCGCGGAATGGCCGTTAAGGGGGGGGGAGGAGGGTTGACCGCCAACCGCCAACCGCCAACGGCTCTCCCGCGTCCTCGCCGGCTCGAGGTGCCAATCAGAACCGGCCTCCCGCCTCCCTCCGCGCGCCCCTCGCGCGCCGTGCAGAAGCCCCCGCGCGCTGCCTCTTAAGCAAACCATTCCTATTCCTCGGGGTCGAGTGGAAGCGGCAGGGGTGGCGGAGGAGGAGGAGGGACTGCGACGGCCTCGTCGCTGCGGAGCCTGCAGCGTCGCCGCCGCCGCCGCCTGCCTGCCTGGCCTCCCACACGCGGTTTCCTGAACTGGATCCGCCGCCGCGAAGATGCCTCCGAAC